CACTGCAAAGGTTCTCCAGATAGAGAGTATTTGAAAAGCTTGCAGAGAAGATAGTCTTGAGGGACTCCTTTGGCTTTGATGATGGTTATGAGATCCTCGAACCTCTCCAGATGGTCCATAGGATGCTCATGGGACAACCCACAGAAGGGTATTTTTACTACAAGTGTGTAGTACTGCGGCTTAAGCTCGAAATCTCCTCTCTGAATAGCAGGAGGGCGGATGGCTGATCGGTTGGAATATAATTGATCTGAACGGTTGTAGTCAGCCAAAGTTCTAGCTTGGTTAGCCTCTTCTACAGGTTGAATGATGTCTGTAGGTCAGTTTTTTGCTCAGGTATGATCTCCTTCCGAGCGTTCAGCTTCTGACCTGCTGCATTACGCAGGTGACCATCTTGATCACGCAGGTCTCCATTCTCATCGGTACTGAGAATAATATGCGCTACCATGTCTCGCCGGTTAGTATCGATCGATGTAAGGTGAGGTATATCGATCGATGTCGGATGAAGGGTATCGGTCGACGATCGGTTGTTGATGTCGATCGATGTGATGGTGAGACTATCGGTCGACGAAGAAGGTGTCTCGGTCGACTGTGGTAGGCAAGTATCGGTCGACAAAGAAGTGTTGATGTCGATCGATGCGGAGCGTATGTCTTTGCGAATGTTATGTTCCAAGCTGTGAGGGTCTTCTGAGTACACAAGTTGTTTGTTCTTGCTGCTTCTAGTACTGCTGGCATGTACCTGAAAAAGACAAGAAAAAAATTTTGATGTGAGAAGATGAATAAACAATAAAAGAAAAATAACCTAGACCTGATCAGATTAAATCTAAATGGCTATCAAAGTTCCCCGGCAACGGCACCTAATTTGATATCACTCAAATATTTAACCATAAGGAGTGAATTACTCTCTCAAATAAGATGTTCAGTTGTAGTACTTAGGGATCGAATCCACTGGGAACTAAGGAACACAATAGATGTAATCCTAAGTGATTATGCTAGGTTGATTAAGTTAAAATAGTAAATTGTAGTTGTGAGCAATGATAAGTTGCTCAGGAGAATAGGCTTTGGTTTTAAGACAAAAAAAGAAAGTAGTTAGATTGAGGTTGCTATTCAGATAATCAAGATTATAATGCTACAGATGTTTTAGTAAATTGCTTGCAAGATATATAAGAACTTCGATTCTTGAACAGATCTAATAGCAGTCGCTAAATAGACTCATCCATTGATTTTATTGCCGGAAATATCGACCGATGTTGTGACACCGATATCGGACGATATGGGTTGCCGTCGATCGATGACTCTATAGGAGTATCGATCGATATAGCATAAGATCGAATCGAAACTATGTTCACCAAGATGATAGACCGTCTCTCGCACATCCCTAGAGGATCTGAGCTTATGCCAAATGATTTCAGGTTAATGATTAACAAGTTAAATCACATCCATGATCATACTCTAGTTAGCTACTCTAGAGTAAGCATTAGGGTTCATTTGGATAATGAATATCACAACTCAACATTCCATAGTTGGGGCTAATCCGTCATAACTATTTGAACCCTAAATCTAACAAAGGAATCTACTCAGACATATCTAAAAGATTCATAACAGCAAGGTAATAATAGAAATTCATAAGATTAGAAGATTGAACTTTTGGTTCTTTGGAACAACAAATCTCTTTGTGTATTTCTTCTAAATCTAGAATTTTATAACCTTTGAGAATTAAGATGAAGATAATACTTTTATAAATCAAAGAACATAAAAACCATGTAAAGCTTTTGAAGTACAAAAAGCACTAGAACAATAAAAAGCATGTCTAGCCAAAACACATAGGCATAACTATAAATATGAGTTCCATTAGGCTAAAAACTCGTCAGGGGCAATCATGTAATATTGGGAAAACTTGGGCTTCAAGTCGGCCAAGTTAAATGTTCTCCACGCTTGATATCGATCGATGGTACATGGGGTACATCGATCGATGGAGTATCTCGACTTCATCTTCTATAGAAGCGTCATCAATCGATTACACATGGTGTGTATCTATCGATATGTATCCTTGTTGTCTGATCTTCATAGTCATCTCGGAAAACTCTCCTTTAAGCTCCATAAGGGCACCTAAATCATCACTTTACTCCAAAATGCTCTTGAACCTGGAAACATACCTAATAGACTCCAAAACATATATAAAACTTATAAAAACATATCAATACCATGACTAAAAGTGGGTCAAAATCATGGTATATCATTCCATTATTATGAATTTCAAATTTTGAGAATTTAATATTGGGTTGGAATGAAAAAAATCTCAAAATTGAGAATTTAAGATTGGGTTGGAGCTGCTTTGAATGAGATCCAAACGTACCTTTTTTTTATTCATTTATCTCTTTGTTTTGTGTTGTTTTCTTATATATATTTAAGGTCATTACTCCCTATGTTTCTAAATAAGTGTTATTTAAGCTTTTTTTTTTTGTTATAGAAAGAATGTCACTTTAGAGTTTTGATACACTTTTGAGTTAATATTAATTATAAATGCATTAATTTTATAAATAAGTTTTGTTTCTAAGAATCTTATTGGTTAAATAGAACCTCTATAAATTAATAATGTTGAGATTTTGAATTTTATTAATTTATAAAGATATGAAGAACCTCTATAAATTAATACTCGAAAAATTAATATAAACTAAATATCTCTATAAAATAATATATTTTTATAGTCCCAAATTGAGGTTTTTGGTTCGATTAGTATATCGATAAATTAATATCTCTCTAAATTAATAAAAAAAATTTTTTGGTGTAGTCCCAACATTATTAATTTATAGAGCTTTCACTGTAATTTTAAAAAAAGTTTATTATTTAGATTTTTATTTTAAGATATTTTATAATAATATAAGAATTAATTTATTTTAGTACATAGGCATTAGTTATTATTTTTGAAATTTGACATTTATATTAATTGTATTATATTATTTGGTCTATATAATAAATATTGCATAGAATTTAAATGTGGGTTTAGATATAATATTACTATATCTCATCAAAATATATTAGGTGTTAAGAAAATATAAAGAGAATTCTGTTGTGAATATAAAAAAAACAATATAATGATAGATCTATACTTATATAAAAATATATATACATATATATTATTAATTTATAATTTTAATAGGACCATAAATTTATTTATAATTTTCTAAAATATTATTATCTTATTATTTTATCGATTTAGGTCAAATTTTGAATCGGTAGAAGTTGGTTGGGGTGATAAACATTATTATTTTATAGAAATTATTAATTTATCGAGTATTAATTTATAAAGATTCTACTGTATATGTAATTAAAAATATCACACATTTCAGAAATTTTATTAATCTATGTGAAAATGTCAAAATGTCACTTTTTGTAAAACTAAGGCGAACATTATTGGGGAGTTTCTTGCAATTGTTTCTTAGAAAATATATATATATATATATATATATATATATATATATATATATATATATATATATATGTATGTATATATTATATACGCATATATAATATATACATACCTATATATATTTTCTAAGAAACAATTGCAAGAAACTCCCAATAATCTTGTCCTAAGAGAGTAATTAGACCACGAGGGTTTGACATTTATAGCATAAAGCCACTTCTATCAGTTTCAGTGCTGTGTTTCAAGAAAGTCTAAACTAGCCGTTTTGTCACGAGTTGCACCCAGTCACGAAAATAGCCGTTTTGTCTTATATATTTCGGAGACAAAACCAGTGACGGTTTCGTTAGCTGTACGTGGGCTACATTACACGAACCAAGTCTTTATTAGCGCCGAGAGATCTCATGTTTAATATTATGTGAGTTACATTGGATATGGTGATAGTTCATTAGAACATCAAACTCCTTTGATATCTTAACTAATGTTTCAGTACTAAATTAATATAAGAAATAGAGAACGAGAAAAAAATTTGATAAATTTTCCGGTACCAAAAGCATTTGAAAATATTTGAAAAAACTCTCTATATGTGTCATTTTCAATTACTTAAATTTTCAAAATTATACTTTTAGTCATAAAAACTAAATATATTAACTATTGCTAAAAACATATTTTTTTTTTTTTTTTTTTTTTTATTAATAGTGATGCTCTTAGCATACAAAAATTTTCTGAGATTAAAACTGAACCAAAATTTTAAGTTTTCAGTTGAAGTTCACTTCAAAGTTCGATTCATTTCAACAAAATTTTGAACAATCAACATGCGGAATTAATGGGGATAAAATTGATAAAGTAATCTCCAATTAGACACTAAGATCAATTTTGGTGTAATTTACTTTCTAAAGAGACATAAAAAAATGCATCAACCCACCAAATTTAGTATTTTGTGAATAATATTACACTATCACACCAAAATTTTATAATATTTAATTTATTATTATTCATTCAATAATAAATTAAGTTTATATTATTAATGAATACAAAATTGTTACTAAAATAAATATTTTATTTTTTTGTCAAAAATGTTAGCTTATTCTGTATTTTTCAAGCATTCCAGTTACTTTCGTATGTAATAACTCTACTAAACATATTCATTCATTTAATTATAGTGCATTCTCTTATGTAGGCAACAAAATCACAAAATATTTAGTTGAAAAAGGCTTGAAAATTTTGCTGATGTGTGGGTGTGCTTTTGAAAAATAAACTGAAGTGAACTACTAAAAGAAGGCTGCCGCGTTAGTTCCAAAAATACAGATGACGTGCTTTTGAAAAATAAATTGAAGTGAATTACTAAAAGAAGGCTGCCGCGTTAGTTCCAAAAAACAGATGACGTATCTCTTAGTAATTTGATAAATAATTAGTGCTGCATAGAGAAAGCGTATTTTGTTTGACAAAAAAAAAAAAAAAGAGAAAGCGTATTTTAAGAGGAAAAACTTAAAATATTTTTAAATCTAGCTCTTTATATATGTTGTGTGGTGTGCGAGTAGGAAAAATATACAAAATCAAAGGTTAAGAAAAAAAAGAAATGGGTGACGAGAAAAAGCGGCAGCATTTCGTGCTGATACATGGTGCATGCCACGGCGCCTGGTGCTGGTACAAGGTTAAGCCGCTTCTTGAGGCCGCCGGCCACCGCGTAACGGCCTTAGACCTAGCAGCTTCGGGTATAGACACAACGAGGTCTATCACTGAGATCTCGACATGTGAACAATACTCTGAGCCATTGATGCAACTAATCGCCTCTTTACCGCGTGATGAGAAAGTTGTGCTCGTTGGTCATAGCTTTGGAGGGTTGAGCTTAGCCATGGCCATGGATAAGTTTCCAGACAAAATCTCCGTCTCAGTCTTCGTGACTGCTTTCATGCCCGATACCAAACACTCACCATCGTTCGTCGTGGATAAGGTTTCTTGTATTTAACGACCAATACTTTTTTCCTGTTTAGAGCTAGAATTTTTAATAATTGAAGCTTTAACAAAAGTAACTATAATCTATGAGCTTAAACCAAAATAATTATAACGCATGAGCTTAAGCCAAAGTAAGACTTTAATATCTAGACATGATATTTTTTTCATCTCATGTTACGTTTATGATGTGCTTAACTTAGACGATTGTGTTCTCCAGTTCAAGTGCTCACCAGGACGAAACAAATATAACATTGTGGTTTCGGGTTTGGAAGGATTACGGGTTTCGACCCGAATCTCCTGGTATTTAAAAAGAAAACTTAGAAATATCACTACAAGATGGATCAGTATGAAGTGGGAACTGGCCCAAATGATCAGTCTGTAGCTCGGATACTGGTTTTAAAATTATCCATTTTAATCTTAGAAGCAACTAGTAATGAATGGATTGGTCTATCGATAGATATGATGTTAGATTTGTTTTTAGGTTTGATGCGAGACATGTTGACCCTTATAGGGTACAATCTTATTACTTTTGTTGTTCTAAAACAATCAATTTATCACTCTGAAAACTAGGTATTAATTTATATACAAAAGGAGAAACACGTTGAAAAACCCAAAAATCAACATTCTTAATTCTACGGCCATTATTCAATACCTATAGTCGTAATCAATCACCCAAGATTACTCATAAAAACTGATTAGGATATATATGATACATGTAGATATCTCCTTTCAGGAGTGTTTATAATTTGTGGGGTAGATCTCCATTTTTGGAGTCTTTAGAATGAGTGGTGTTAGGCTATAACCACAGATAGAAAAACTATATCGTGTAGGTGGGTGCAATGAGTTTAATTTCACCTATTTTACTAAAAGTTCAAGTAGTAGTCAGTACCTTCATATTGATTACATGTTTTACTTCATAAAATCTAAGATTCAGTTTTGTTATTACAGATTCAGTTGTCTTATAAAACTAAATTTTAAGTCTATGATCACGTAATAGTTTAAAGGGGAGACGCCACCAGAAGCATGGTTGGGCTCGGAGTTAAAATCGTACGGCTCAGACAATTCCGGTGTGTCAATGTCTTTTAGCACTGAGTTCATGAAGCACGCTCTCTATCAACTTTCTCCTATTGAGGTAATTTTTGATGTAGAATCATCAACATCATCATGATAAATTAATAATACTTATATGTATACGGTAATCTTGATTTAGGATATTGAGCTTGGATTGCTTTTAAAGAGGCCCGGATCATTGTTCATAAACGATTTACCCAAGGTGGAGAAACTTTCTGACAAAGGGTATGGATCTGTTCCTCGAGCTTACATTGTGTGCAAAGAGGACAAAACACTTACAAAAGAACTTCAGTGGTGGATGATTGATAATTATCCGGCAAATATAGTAAAGGAGATGGAAGAGACAGATCATATGCCAATGTTCTGTAAGCCTAAGCTACTAAGTGACTATCTCTTGGAAATCGCGGAAAGAAATGCTTAAATTATCTTGTTATAAAAATATATTTGGATACAAATAAGTGTTGTCATGCCAATGGATCTTTCTTAAGATTCAGAATTTTATTGCTTTCCATGTTTGAAATAAAATGAAATAAATTTAACAGTCAATATATAGTCTTAGTTTGCCACTCTCTGGATCTTAGAGAACGACCAAAACTAACAATCAGTAATATACAAAATGTTATGTGCGAAACTCGTATATAACGTGTTGAGCCGAGTTGCACCAAAAAAAGTGTTATCAATTTATCATGATGATGTTGTCAATAAAATGTGTTATCAATAAATATTAGGATAATGATAAGAGTCTTGGTAGATACGATTTGGTTGTTGTAGTTCATTGTTATCTCCTATATTTGGGGTAGATTAGATACGTGATTTCTTGTATAAATACTCAGCTGTACGTTCATCAATAATAACACAAAATACTTTCACAACTTCTTGATATGGTATCAGAGTCCAGATCCAAAATAATAAACGAGTGATTTTTTTACGATGAGTGAATCAAGTTCAGCCGTGGCGTCTACAACAGCAGGAGCAATAGTTGCTAAACAACATGTTTGGATGTCTCTGTATTATCTCCATCCTTCCGATAATACTGGTCATGTTCTTTCACCGATCCTCTTGAATGGAGGAAATTATGAAAGATGGGCCAAGCTGATGCTGAACTCACTTAGGACCAAGCGAAAACTTGGTTTTGTTGATGGGACTTTGAAACGTCCTGTAGGAAAGCCAGAAGAAGTAGAGAAGTGGGATATGGTCAATGCAATGGTCATAGGCTGGATATACAGCAGTGTTGAACCCAAGCTACGACCGACAATATCGTTGGTTGATAGTGCAAAAACGATGTGGGAAAATCTTCAACGAAGATTCTCGGTGAGTGATGATACACGGATTCATCAGTTGCATGCGGACATTGCTGCTTGTAAACAAGATGGTGATTCAGTGGAGGTATACTTCAGCAAGCTGAAAGTAATGTGGGTTGACCTTTCGGATTTGGATAAAGGTTTCTCATGTTGTTGTGGAAGCGCAGAGTGCGTATCAATGGTGACTTATGAGAAGATGCAGGAGAAGATTCGATTACATCAGTTTCTTATGGGGCTTGACAATGCTCGATTAGGAACAACAAGGTCGAATTTGTTGAGTCGGCAGGTAGAGTTAAATATCGATATGGTTTACTCTCAGATTATCCAAGAAGAGAGACATCTCAATGTGATGCGTGGAGCAGAAGAAAAGACACCGGTGGTTGGATTTGCAGCGACTTCAGCGAACAATGCACAAGCGGCTGCAGCACGTTTTGGGAAACCACAAACTGTGCGCTCTCACTGTGGAAAACAGGGACATGATGCGTCCAATTGTTTTCAAGTTATTTGTTTTCCTAATTGGTGGGAAAAGGGTAAGCCTAATGGAGGACGAGGAGGGGACAGAGGATCGCGTGGAAGAGGTTATGAAAGTCAAGGACGAGGTCGTGGTGGTAGAGGATCCAGTGTTCGTGCTTACAATACTCAGCTCGGGGATTCTTCTTCAGTAACAGAAGGATCATCCTCTCTGGCGTCAGGCATACCAAACTTCTCTCCAGATCAATGGGCTTCTCTTGCTCAGTTTGTGAACAATCAACAGTCGAAACAGTCCGATAAACCCTCTGGTAAGAAAGACAAATTACTTCTTTATGGTAAAGATCGTCGATATGATATCATTATCGATTCTGGTGCTTCCCATCATATGACGGGGGAGGCTCGTTTACTCACGGATATTGTGAATATTGCACCATGTCCGATTTCACTACCTAATGGACAGATTACTTGGGCTACAAGTTATGGGAGCTTAAGTCTTGGTGATCGTCTCACACTGAGACATGTTTTTCTTGCACCTTCTCTTTCGATCACATTAATCTCAGTTGCTCAGCTACTTCGCGATGTTGCGAGTTTTGTGCTGTTTACTAAGCAATTTTGTGTGATACAGGACTTAATTTCGAAGACTTTGATTGGTGCGGGTAGAGAACGTAACGGGGTTTATCACTATGATGGTGCTGTGGCAGTCCAAGCCGGTCGTGCAGTCAAGCTTCAGGACAGAGATTTGTGGCATCATCGTATGGGACACCCCTCTTCGAAAGTGCTTTCGGTGTTGGCTCCAACTGGTGGTTTTTCTAGTAGCTTAGGGGTTTTAGAACAATCTTGTGGTGTTTGTCTTCGAGCGAAACAGACTCGAGATACTTTTTCTATCATTATTAATAAAACAGTTGAGCCGTTTCAATTAATACATTGTGATCTTTGGGGACCCTATCGAGAACCATCTACTAGTGGAGCTCGATATTTCCTTACTATTGTTGACGATTTTTCACGAGCTGTTTGGACTGTGTTACTCCTGGAAAAGAAAGAAGCACCAGGAGCTTTGAAAACGTTTTGTTCCTTTGTTCACAGACAGTTTCAAAAGCATATCAAGATCATACGCTCCGACAATGGTTCTGAGTTTATTTGTCTCCGCAAATTCTTTGCTGATGAAGGGATTGTTCATCAGACCTCTTGCGTAGAAACACCACAACAGAATGGACGGGTAGAACGAAAGCATCGGCACATTCTGAATGTGGCTCGAGCTCTGCTGTTTCAAGGAAATTTACCGAAGAAATTTTGGGGAGAAAGTGTTTTGACTGTGGCGTACTTGATCAACAGAACTCCGACGCCTCTGTTACAAAACAGGACTCCGTACGAACTTCTTTATGGAGTTACTCCGACTTATGACAATTTGAGAGTGTTTGGCACACTCTGTTATGCTCGACGTATCTCGCGTGGAAAAGACAAATTTGATGCTCGGAGTAGTCGCTGTGTGTTCCTTGGTTATCCAATGGGCAAGAAAGGATGGACAGTGTGGGATTTAGAAACAGAACGTTTGTTTGTTTCCAGAGATGTTGTTTTTCAAGAAGATCAATATCCATTTGCTCAGACAGATAAAGAAGAGCCGATGCCATCGGCCGTGGCATCATCACCATCTCCATCGTTGATGTTTGATACTGAATACACGGTTATGGCACCAGAAATGATTCCATCTGAGACTGTTTCAGGCAGTGAGAAAGGGGGAGAAAGTACCGAGCAAGGGGGAGTTACCAATACTACATCTGCGCCTGCTGAGACTGTCGAGAATGTTGAGACCATTGAGAGTGTTGAGAACACCATTCCTGTGTCTGAAGAACAGTTAGGCAGAGGCATGAGGACAAAGAAACCGTCTGTGTTACTGGAGCCGTATGTGACTTATTCGGCTAACTTAAGTGATAAACCCTTGCACGTTCCTCCACCAACAAAGTCTTCAGGTATGTGCTTATATCCTCTCAACAAGTACATGTCTTGTCATCGTCTCTCACCCTCTATGCAGGGTTTTGCTGCAAAAATAGTGGAGAATGTGACACCCACTTCATATAGAGAAGCGGTGAAACATGAGGTGTGGCGAGGATCGATGAAAAATGAAGTTGTTGCTCTCGAAGATAAAGATACTTGGAACATTTTGGAACTTCCTCCGGGAAAGACAGCAATTGGCTGTAAATGGGTGTATACGATCAAGTATAACGCAGATGGCACTATTAATCGTTTAAAATCAAGACTTGTGGCACTTGGGAATAATCAAGAAGAAGGTATAGATTATAAGGAGACATTTGCACCGGTTGTCAAGATGACAACTGTGAGGATTGTACTGGAAGTAGCCGCTGCCAAGGGATGGGAGTTTTTTCAGATGGACTTACATAATGCGTTTCTTCACGGGGACCTTGAAGAAGAAGTTTACATGAAGTTCCCTCCGGGTTTCTCTACTCCTGATGATAAGCGAGTTTGCAAGTTGAAGAAATCGATTTATGGGCTTCGACAGTCACCACGATGTTGGTTTTCGAAGTTATCTATGGCTCTGCTTGAGTTTGGTTTTAAGCAGAATTACAAAGATTATTCTTTTTTCACGTTGAATCGTGGTGGGTCTTTGTTGTTTGTGCTTGTATATGTGGATGACTTGATTGTGGGAGGAAACAACTCAGCTCTTATCACGTCTTTCAAGTCCTATTTAAGTAGATGTTTTCACATGAAAGACTTGGGAGTGTTACGATATTTTTTGGGCATTGAGGTGTCTCGAGGTAAGGTGTCTCGAGGTAAAGAAGGGATCTATATGTCGCAGAAGAAGTATGCATTGGACATCGTCAGTGAGTGTGGTCTTCTTGGAGCAAAGCCTGCACCTACACCAATGGAACAAAATCACAATTTGGCTCGTAGTGAAGGAGCTTTCTATACAAATCCGACTGCATACAGAAGACTTGTAGGGCGTCTGGTTTACTTAGCAGTGACGAAACCAGAGATTAGTTATGCGGTTCATACTTTGGCTCAGTTCTTGCAAAAGCCTCGACTTAAGCATTGGGAAGCTGCATTAAGACTGGTGAGATATCTTAAGGGATTGCCTGGACAGGGGATTTTCTTGAGTTCTGATAATGATCTTCATATTTCGGCTTTCTGTGACTCGGACTGGGCTGCGTGTCCTCTCACGCGTCGGTCACTTACTGTTTTTTGGTAATGTTGGGAGACTCAATCATCTCATGGAAGACGAAGAAGCAACATACAGTTTCGAGATCGTCGGCATAAGCCGAATATAGAGCAATGGCGATGACTTTGAGTGAACTAAAGTGGACAAAGGAGATACTTGAAGCGTTTGGTGTTTATCAGAGAGAACCTATGCATTTATATTGTGACAGTAAGGCGGCACTTCACATTGCTGCCAACCCGGTGTTTCATGAGCGCACGAAACATATTGAAGCTGACTGTCATTTTGTTAGAGATGCTGTGCAAGATGGGTCGATTGTTACTACTCATGTTCGAACGACAGATCAGTTGGCCGATGTCTTAACGAAGGCTTTACCAGTGAAACAGTTTGGTTATCTACTTGGCAAGATGGGCATTCGTGATCTACATGCACCATCTTGAGGGGGAGTATTAGGATAATGATAAGAGATAATGATAAGAG